CCGAAAAAAAAGAAAATTAGATGGGAATCATCGGGGTTCCGGACGTAAATGTTCCCCAGGTGGCCGGGTCTTGAAAACTCCACAAAACACAACCGTGGGTTATGAAAATAAGGGGGGGGGGGGGGGGGATGCGCAAAAAAAGCAAACTGAAAATTAATAAGCGGGCGGGGGGAGGGGGGGGTTATTCGATACCTTAGAGTAAGCTTGACCAATGAGAGAACAGCAGTTGTGATATACAGTGGAATCTGCTGAAACAGAACAAGGTTCATCCGAAGTCACTGGTCAACCAAAAGAATATTATTATAGTTATAGAATTCACTATTTTTTTTCTTAGCTGTGGTGTTCGTCCTCCCTGAGGGAAGAAGAACTTCTTCATCATATCCGGGGGGTGGGGGGGTGGGTCCTCAGGTGGCTGATTAAGCCAATATTCGCCTTGAAGGTCCTTGGGCAGTGAGGGCAAGGTAGCGCTGTAGGGTCATGAATTGCGGGAGCACTGCTTGCACGGGACTTTCTTGTTGTGCGCTTGCTCTTCGCTGTTTCCAGACGCCGTGATTCATACGCTGCCGCTCCCTTGTTGATGGCTCCACGCCAGGCTGCACGGTTTTGGGCTGTCGTTTCCCACGAGTTGTGGTCAATGCCGAAGTCTTTCAGAGAGGCCTTCAGGGTGTCTTTAAACCGTTTCTTCTGACCTCCACGGGAGCGTTCTCCAGTCTGAAGTTCTCCATATAGAATGCGTTTTGGCAGACGCTCGTCTGGCATTCTGACTACATGGCCAGCCCAGCGGAGTTGTGTCTTTCGGAGCATTGTGAAGATGCTCGACATACCTGTCTGCTCGAGGATTTCAGTGTCTGGGACTTTGTCCTGCCACTTCACTCTGAGCAGTTTGCGGAGGCAGTTGAGGTGAAATCGGTTGAGTTTCTTGGCGTGCCTGTGGTATACTGTCCAGGTCTCGCTTGCATATAGTAGCTATTTGAGTGAGCGATCTCTCTAAACCAAAATCATGCCCCCCCCCCCCCCCCCCCCCCCGGGGCAGTGCCACTGACTGAAGAGTCTTTAGGCCATTCCCAAAGGGAGGATTTTATTAACTTGTTCTTATGCACTGTAGAACTGTAAATGGACTGATTTATCAATGTCATGCTCATAACTGTGCCTAAACCTGCAACTGGGAAATACTGCTTTTTCTTTCCTCATCGTTACTATCATCATTTTTCCTCTACTTCTTTTGTTTGTTTGTCACACTCTTGTGACCCGCTATTTCCGGGGTGCCTTGATAGTCGAAGAAAACTTTGTACTATTGAAGCTAGAGAGGTGAGCAGAGTAAGCCTGATTCCCCGTTTGGACTTCTCTGTTGACATCCACCCCTTGGCGCTCATATGATCTTATGCAGTTGCGAGCGCCGTAAAACCTGTACTTAAACAAACCAAAATCATGACTATAGCAAAGAAAACGGGCAGTCCCACAGATTTCTTTAAGGGGATACTAAAAAATCTATCCCCGTGGTTTTATGCACCCCACATAATTTAGCAAAATTTGATCATTTTTTGCATAATTTCTTTTTTTTTTCCTTTTTCATTCTTTGTTAAAATTAACAGAATCGCATAATTTCACATTTTGGGCTCAGTTTGCTTAATTACAGAATTTTTCTTGCATAAAACGACGGGGACAGAAATATAATCTTACACCTTTTTGGGGACTTTATGAACCCCCCCCCCCCCCACTCCATGTTACAATCATTGTTCTATTCGCTTTACGTGATATTCATGAAAAACATGCATACACACATATATGCACATAATAATATATATAGTTCTACTTTCACTAAAAAATAACAGAGTAAATAATTCAAGCAAAATATTGCATACACTCTTTCTTACTAAGAAATAAGGAAAAAATTGAGACTCATGTCATAGTCAAAAGCCCCTTAATTACAAATTAAAAAAATTTACAGTGGAATTGTGATAAAGTCAACACCTGGGGACCAAGATAAAAGTGTGTGTAGTATTGCATTGATTCAAGACACCCCCCCCCC